ATACCGGGTGTTCAACTTAAAGCGTTACAGCTATATACCGATTTTTATAAAAAAAAACGTTTCAGACGAAAGTTTTATAGTTTTGTGGGGAAAAACTTTTAGCTAACCATAATATGGCCAACTTTTTTTTCGCGCAGCAACATTTTCAAGTAGCTGTTACTCAAAAAGTAAAAGTCCAATAAAAAAAATATTTCCCTCAAAAGTTTCTTATTTTTTTATATTCTTTAAGAATATGTAAGAAAAAAAATGAGATTCCCTTTTAAAAAAACAAAGTCCATCTCGATATGGCCATATTATGGCCAACTACAAAAAAATTAATTTAGCCAAAATATTTCCCCCAAAAAACTATAAAACTTTTGTCTGAAACTTTTTTTTCTAAAATGCATATTTTCGGCGGTATTTGACTGTAACACTTTAAAATGAACACGCGGTATAAGGCCGCCAAGGAAATGAAAATACCCTGGTCATCTTTAAAGCGCTATTTAGCCAAAACCGAGGGTCAAGAGGAAAACGCTGTTCCGGATTTGCCAAAGTTAGGGAGACCTTTTGCTTCGACTGCTGACCTTGAAGTGCAAATATTCAATTACATAATAGCTATGCAACAATTGGGGTTTGGACTTACTGTGGTTCAAAAGCTATTGGTCGGGAGAATTTTTTTGTGAACGAAGAAAAAGCAACTGCAAGCAAGTGGTGGTGGGCATATTATAAAAAATGGTTTGGCCTTACTTTACGCATTCCAGAAAAGTTAGCTGCCTACAGAGCATCAATGGCCAATCTTACAATTATTTCTGATTTTTACGTAAAATTAGAAACGTTAGTGGTGTAATTAGGCATTAAAGACAACCCTTCAAGACTGTGGAATTGTGATGAGACTGGTAAGTAATTTGTGGTAAAACCAAATAAAGTAGTGACCGCATTAGGGAAGCGTTATGTATACAAGAGAAGTTATGCAGACCGGGGGGAGACAACAACAGTTCTCGGCTGTGTATGTGCAAACTGCACATTTATGCCACCATTAATAATATTTAAAGGCGTTCGTTGGAATCCTGAACTAGCAAGAGGTTTTTTACCAAATTCACTTGTCAAATTATCTCCAAAGGGTTGGATTAATTCAGAAATTTTTCTGGAATGGTTGCAATTCTTCATAAAGTCAATACCAAAAGAACGACCTGTCATACTTTTGATGGATTCCCATGCGTCGCACGTTTCCCCAGCTGTCATACAGTTAGCAAAAGAACACGAAATTTACCTTTTCACATTTCCTGCTCATACGAGTCACCTCCTACAACCACTCGACGTTGGAGTTTATCTACCACTAAAATCTGCTTGGAACCAATGTGTAAATGATTACATGCGGGAAAAGAATGGCGAAAAACATAGCCGATATAATTTTAATGAAATTTTTACAGCCGCCATGGTTAAAAGTTTCTCGCCTACCAATATAGAACATGCTTTTTGCAAAAGTGGAACATACCCTCTAAATAAGACTGATACTGTCCTACAAGATAACGCAGTAGAAAACAATAATGCAGAAAACAATAATCAAATCCGCCCTTTAAAAATTTGTTGGTACTACCCTCAGCTTCAGCAATTTCACAAAATAAAGGGAAAAAAAGAAAAAATAGAGACTCCTCTGCAAAATGTCTAGCACTTCCTGATCCAAAATCACCTTCCATCGATCCGCAACCAGGTTGTTCTGGAGCAGTGTCGTCAATTTAAGCTAAAATTACTCCGCTTAAAGAAAAACGAATAAATCAGCGAAAGCAGAAATCCAAAACGGACGATGATGATTTGGACTGTGGTGTTTGTGGTGGATCATACCAGGATGATGCTAAGAAAAAAAAAATGGCGCCTCATGGGTTCAATGTTCTTTTTGTTGTGTGCCTTACCATGTTAAATGTCAGACGAACCCTGACGAAGAGGACACTTTAATGTGTGATATTTGCGCTGGAGAATCATCAGATTCGGACTAATGCAACGTTAACGATATTTTTAGTGCTGTTTTGATTTGTATGCCTACAGTTAGGATATTTGTGCCTATCACGAAATTAAATAGCCCCTTTCGCCAAATTACCTTACCTGTAAGCAATTTACCTATGATAGGATTAAATTCTTAAAGTAGAATTTTTGTAATGAATTTTTGAATTAAAAATTAGTTTCTGTTAATCAGGTATTGAGCAACATATAAAACTTGTTTGCGTAAAAAAAACACGTGTATTTTTTTAACTACAAAGTTATTCACGTAGAAGTAAAATTATCACCAACATACCTTACCTTACCCTACACCGAAATAAATCTAGAAAACCGTCATATTATTGATATTCAGTTCTTCATGCACCAACTAATGGACCTAAATAATCATGCACCACAATTTGATTATTCAGTAAATAGTTTAATACTGAATACTGAGAAGATTTTAAGAATGTGGAGAAGTTAAAGAAGATTTATCTATACTGTATGCTGCCTGAATTGGTAGATCCAAGGCATGACCGGGAAATGTCATTAAGAAAAACTGATTTTTTAGAAGCAATTTAAAAAATATAAAAAAATAAAAATAATTACCTCCAAAAAGTAAAATAACATTAAATGTACTTCACTAATTATTAGTGAACTACCTTTAATGTAGTAACTACTACTGCTTCAAAATGTATCTACAAAAACTGCTATTTAAGGACAAAAATAATTGATAAAAACTTTTATTGTTTTTATTCTAAAAGTATTTTCTTTAATATTATTCATTTTAATCTAGGTACTATTAAAACACTCTAATGCCTATATTTATTTGCAGGTACTTGTGTGACTAATTTATTTGTAGTATTGGGTGCAAATTAAATTTAAAATACATAAGTATAGGTTGTAAAAAATAATATCAAACTGTTTAGTCAAATGCCCTACTCTTTACAAAAATAATTTTACAATTTATAATAAAATTACATCATATTTAAAAATAAAAAATATTCGATGTACAGGGTTCATAAAATATCTCGCAACTTCTGGCGTTTGTTTGAACTTTTATATTATTCAGTTATTTTAAAAAAGAAACTCATAATCTTGCAGAAATTTGAGATATCAATTAAGAAGAATTTGTATACCTCATCCCAGTCTGTTTATGAGATCGTTGAAGTCAAAAAGAGAAAAGTTGTAATATATCCATGATACTAGAAAAGAAGATTAATACTATATCACGGCGACATATTATGGTGATCGAAAATAGCGGGCGAAAATAAATTTTAATTGGCTCATGACCAATCATCCATATTTCACATCACAATATATCTCAAAGTTGACGACAACAAAATATGATTACATCATTCAAGGGCAGCATCATTACAAGCAAGTATTAAAAATTAAAAACCGACTTCAAAATCGTGCAGATGCAATCACCACATCTTAACCAAATTTATATGGGACTACCCCTGAGATACCCCCTTACTAGCAAAAAAATAATCGTAGAAATCGGACAAGGTGCTAAAGAATTATCGCTAAACATATATAAAAATGAAGAGATTGAGGATTTTCTTATGGATACAATTATTATATTTCCACCAAATTTATATGGGACCACCCCTGAAGTACCCCCTTCATAACAAAAAAATCATTGAAATCGGACACCATGTTAAAGAATTATCGCTGAACATACATAAAAAAATATATCGACGAATTGAGAACCTCCTCCCTTTTTGAAGTCGGTTAAAAATTCGGATCAATCAAAGCCGGAGAGTAACAAAACACAATGGTTTACTCAGTTTTTAAAATAATCATTATATAGGATCTTTTTGAGTTTCAACCAGTACAGACCGAAATAATTTTGAGCATAGCATAAGTTACGAATAAAAACATTCGTAAGTATTGTGAAAATTGTAAATTACTATTATACGTTAAATAATGTAATTTATTATATTTTATATATTTATATATGTATCAGATCATTACAATAGCAGATAGCAACAAAACAAAAAAAAACTTGTAAGGAAAACTAAGTGGTTTCTTCACGGTTCATTCACAGATAAGTCAGAAAACATGTAAATTAATACATTATGAAACATTTGTTAAATACATTATTTATAACGCTAATTTATAGATTTTATTATTTAAGTAGCTTAGTTGATATTCTTGGGACAATGAATTATTTTAGAAAATATATACTCATTATATAAATATAATGCTTCAACCTAATTTTTTCTAATTAAACTATTTGTTAAATATGCTGCAATATTGCAAATTCTGTATTAAAAACAAAATTATCTCATGTAATAAATATTCCCACTTCCCAACATAGAGCAATAATATATTTCAGATCTATCCTATATGTACCCCTTATTCCGTATCTGGCCAAATTTCAATACTAAGTAGACGAGGAAGACAATATCGCCCATCCCTCGGTACGAACATGGAACGTCTTGAGAGGGGATATTGTAGTCATATTTTTCAATAGTTTTTATATACGAAATTACTTTGCTATTTTAATAATAACGGCTTTATATTAAGTACAATTTTAAAAATTATTTTTTGATCTTATTAAGACAAAGATTTACTACAAGTTGACATTAATCGTTCGAAAAATAATGCATGTTTGATAAAGTTAATTCTATATTAAAAGTTGTCCGTTTTTTAACAAATTTTATTAACTTTATAATTTTTTGTTGACAAAACGGACCATTTTTTCAAAAAAATATGCAAATCCAGGGCTAGTGCCACTTATTTATATTATCTTTAAAATTGTGTCTTCTAGGATTAAACCAGAATACCTATTATTTATACAAATTTCTTGCTATTTTCAGCGGAGCAATAACTCACACTATGTAATAAACTTAAATAATGTTTCTTTTTAAAATACGATTCACTTAGATTTTACATTCCTTATGTCAGCAGACGTTATTATTGTTTTTTTAAAGTGCATTCTGGGAAAATCTTAGTTCGCTTGGTTTACGGAAGTTGAATTTGTCGGTTTGTACGAGAATGTACTCGGAAAATACTGCTATAAAATAAAGAAAGCCTACCTATCGACACAGTGAGAAGCAGTTACCACCCACAATTCAGTAATCAGGACTCCACCACAATGAAAGTTTCCGTTCTTGTAAATCGACACCAACCAAGGCCACGAAGCTGGCTGACTCGGTTTGCCCCCAACTATTCTACTATCACCAACAACTTCGTCTTCGTTTTCGTTCACACTTGCAACTCGTTCCAAGTCTTCGATGATATTTTCTGCGCTAATATCGACTTCGTGTTTTCTATAAGGGTTTTTAATGGATATTCTCATACCACAATACATCGGGGGGCATTCAATGAAGGTAGCTCTGTCTTGTACGCACGTTTTAACCAAACTCGCTTGTTTATCAGGGAGGCTGTTAATGAAGTATCCATCATATTTGTCCGTTGTGAGTATCATGTGGTTTTTTGGTAATCTAGAAAGATATGAATTAAACATTTTTTGTTGAAAATTTTTTTAAAGAAAATGCATGGCAGACTATACAGGGAGCCAAAACCATATGATTTTATAAAATCTCTTTTTACAGCAAGATGTATATCAGAAACGGCAACAATCTAATAATTATTTTAATTATACAGGGTTCTCCAAGTAAGTGATACATATCAAAGTTAGTTTTTTTTAATAGAACACTCTGTATTTTATTTTATATTTGAATGCCCTCGCTTTTCCCTTTATAACTGTACCAAATAGTATGAAATTATGCGGGACGGTAGCGTAGGTGTATAAGGAGCTAAACAGGTTTTCCTCACCTGGGGCCCCGGGGCGCCACGGCAAATAAAAATAAGAGCTATCCCTTCCCCTACGCAAGCCGCTCATTCAGCTTCAGGGGTTGAAATTCACCCGTAATGAGGTGAATTAGGAGAGTATTGTTGTTATTATTATTATACAGGATATTTCACACGCTATAACCAGTTTTAAATGAAAATCGTATTGATTTCAATGACCTGTTTAGTGCAAAAAAAAACTACTGAAAACCAATTTCTTTGCGGTAAAGGGTTTTCGATATTAGTCAACATTTATGCCGATGCACTACTTTTTTCAATTATAGAGGCAAAAATCAAATACATCATTTTCTCAGTTTTTTATTTAATTGACCACTCTGTATTTTATATCACCATTTAAAAGTACCTTAATTAAAGTTTCTTTTGAGTTGAGTTATTAATTTTGAGAGATTTTTAAATTTAAATGAGAAAAAAGATAATTCACAAAATAATCTATTTTTAACTGGTCACTGGTTAATAGGAAAAAAAATAAAAATTAAATACTTTTTGGCTCCTCAGACGAGGCGTTACCGGTAACCCACCCTGAATAATATTTTTTTTTAATTTGAACAATTTTATTAAAATTCACATAAAACATTTTAACACTCATTCATACATGATTTTTTAAAAATGAAAGTAGCTGGAAAATTTAGATACAAATTTAATGTTGTATCTAAATTTTCCAGCTACTTTAAGGTTTGTTTGGTTAATTTTTCCAATGATGATTGTTTTTTAACGTTCTTGTAGTCAACCTTTATAGAAGTGGTAAGGTTTTAGTTTTCTTTAATTCTTTACAGTACATACCACATTAGGAAAAAGATAATCTTCTTACTCTTAATGTAAAACTGCGAATAGTAGAAGATAGTGGGTGCAGATTCTATGAGGAGGAGGACGAAACCTCAATTCACATTCTCACTGAATGTGGAGCACTCCAGAAGGGCACTATACCTAGGAGAAAATAGAAGAGGGAGATTTACCTAACTTGAAGACACTCCAAATCCTACACTTCCTTGAGAAGATAGGATTTGAAGGGTCGTTATAGGCATTGAGACATTTCCTTGCTGCATTAGAGACAGAAGGGACACGACACAATAGATCTTTTAGGTCGCAGTGTATTAACACCCCATTCACTACATAACATACCATACTCTTAATGGTTATTTTTTACATTTTTATTGTATGAAAACATCTTTTTGTACTATTTGTTTTTTTTTGTATTTTTTGGGTGTACTTTCAACTTTTATTATTGTGATTTGCCAGATTAAAATTCATGGCTGACTAATAGTAGTTTGTGCAACAAGAGTGGATATGATGGCCATTATCGCACAATGACGAAATTTGATCACGACGCCGTAGGCGGAGTCTCCAATCGTACAATCGAGTTGTACATATTATTTTTTCTTTGACCCACTAACGAAAATTTACAAATAAAAAAAGTATTTTAGGTTGTTCAATCAGAACATAATAAAATAACATCCTGTACATCAAAGTTTAATTTATTTCACCATAAATTAAACAGTTAAAATTAGAACGTTTCTGGTCGGCGAACCTGAAAATTGCAACTCAGCGAAAACATCGAGTTCGTTGTTTAATTAATTAGCAAAGTTGTTATCTTATATTTAATATTGTTGAAATTTTGTTTAATAATAATAGTTTATAAAAATGTTAATTTTTTTAAAAATAAATGCTTTTTAACCCCACGTTTCGTCTATCTAACATCCTTAAAATTAATATAATAATTATTAAAAAATAGCCCTTATTTTTAATACAAATTATTCACTGGTCCTTCGAGCAAAAAAGTAAAAAATATTAAATTAATAGTCCAGTCAATCAATAGTACAGAAAAAAAAATGCCTACAAAAAGCGAAGAAATTGACAAAATAGCAAAAGATCAAGAAAAAATTGGTAAGCAAATAGTACAATTGCTTAGCAATGCCAAAAAAGACTCGTCATCTAGAAAAACAGAAGAGTATATTGCAAATAAAACTGAAGAAAGAGAGAACTTATTGGAGCAAGCGAATGAAAACCATTTCAAAGCCTTAAAAATAGGTCTCTCCGATCATGTGTATTTTACAAGTCAGTATTTTGATCAAATAAAAGGGAAACACGATGAATACAAGGAATATCTGAAAGATTGTTCCAAAGCAGACCCAAATATACAACCAAATAGTAATGAAGAAGTGGAACAGCAACTTAGAATCAAAAAACAAATGGTAAAAATGGAACAATTCAAACGCACTATCCAACAAATACAACAAGAAGCAACCCAAGGTAAAACAAAATACAGGTATGAGGCATTAACCAACAAAGTGCAAAAACAATGGGATGTAATATTAGAATTACATGAGGAAATTATGGTATACGAAGCGCGTTTTACACATGAGTATTTTGTTATGGACAGATATATAAGTATGGAAAATCAATATGAAATAATAATGGAAGAACTGAATACAAAAGCAAAAGAAAATTCAGGTAATACTCTAGAAAGTATTAAATCCAATGTGGTATTACCAAAAATAAATATTCCCTTCTTTGATGGCAACTACGAGAATTGGTGTTCCTTCAATGATATATTTCAAAAGGTTATACATGAAACATCATTATCAAAAACAGAAAAGATGCAATATCTGAAAACCAGTTTAAAAGGTGAAGCCTTCAAGTTAATACAGCACTTTAAAATTACTGAAGATAACTATGAGATCGCTTGGAACACATTACAGAATAGATATGAAAACAAGCGCCAGATATTATCCACATTATTAGATAGAATAATAGATTTACCAGTATCCAAACGAGAATCGCCGAATGATATCAAGCTATTACATGATGTAACCACTGAAAGCCTTCAAGCCATAAAGAACTTGGAAGTCAAGACGGATTATTGGGGTCCATTACTAACACGTATCATAATGCGAAAGTGGGATTCAGAAACAAACAGAATTTATGAGCAAAGCCTAACCGAACCAAATGAGATACCACATTTTGAAGATGTCATGAAGTTCATCGAAAGACGATTTCAAGCACTAGAAAAATCTAGTACCGTTAAGAAGCCAAATGGGTTCTCCCAGACTGATTTTAAGCCAAAAAATCAAGACTGCGTGTATTGTAAGCAGTTACATAGCATATACCAATGCATAAAATTTAAAACATTGTCTATAGCTGATAGAAACCAATTTATCAGAAACAATCGACTTTGTTACAACTGTATGACACATGATTCAAAGGAAAAATGTCATAGTTCACTCCGATGCCGCACCTGTGGTATGTCCCATCACAGTATGCTGCATAAAGACAGAAAAGAACAGTCAAGGGTTTCAGAACATGTTAGAGTTGCGAGACCTGTTAACAGTTTACGATCCCAGACCAATACTACTATAGTGGCCAGTCAGCTTCCTCAATATGAACCTGTATCTACGTCGACACACATAGGAAGAGAAGATAATACAGTGTTAATACCTACGGCTATGGTAAATGTACAAACTTCCAATGGAATGTTCCAACTTCTACGAGTGCTGGTTGATCAGGGGTCGCAGTCATCCTTTATCACCGAAGAAGCAGCACAACTCTTAAACTTACCAAGAAAAAGAATACGAGCAGACATCTCTGGATTGGGAGATGGAGAACCAAAAATTTCTAAATGGCAAATTGAAGCTACAATAAAACCACGATTTTCTAGCAACTATACCTTGACTGTACATCTACTTGTACTGCCCAAACTAACGCAAACATTGCCAAAAGAATTCTTGCCAAACATGGACCTTAATAAATGGCAAAATAAGCTCATAGCTGATCCAACCTGTAACAAACCTGGTCCAATTGATATACTGTTAGGAGCTGAAGAATATGCCAAAATCATACTTCCGGGCCTCCACAAAACTGAAGATGGTATAATAGCACAAAATACCGAACTAGGATGGATTATGTCAGGTCTTGTCCAAAACACTAAGTCGAACCCCATAAAGGTGATAAGTATGGTTGTCCGTACTGAAGAAGATAAACAGTTAACAAAATTTTGGGAACTGGAAGAAGTTAATCCACCCAAATATGTGAACAAAGATGACCAACTATGTGAACAGTTTTATCAAGACACTACCAAAAGAAACGAAGATGGAACCTACACAGTAAGAATTCCCTTTTCAAACTCGGAATCTACACTAGGCAACTCCAAGACGAGAGCTGTGGCGAGATTGATCCAATTAGAACATAAACTCTCTAGAAACGAAAAGTTAGATACTGATTACAAACAGTTTCTACGAGAATATGCAGACATGGGACATATGACTCAAGTAAACTTCGATAACCTAAACCGAGGAAAGTACTACATTCCCCACCAAGCAGTTATCAAGGAATCGAGTACAACCACTAAACTGAGAGTAGTATTTGACGCATCATCCAAAACTGACTTAAATACCAGCTTAAATGATCAAATGTATGCAGGTCCAAAACTGCAGCAAGAATTATCAGACATTTTACTACGATGGAGAAAACATGCAGTAGCCTTTACCGCAGATATTGAGAAAATGTACCGACAGATCCAGATACATCCTGACGACAGGGATTACCAACGCATTGTGTGGCGATGCAATAGTTCAAACAAAATTGAAGAATATCAACTTAACACCGTTACATACGGAACCAAAGCAGCACCATATCT